TATTTGTCCTAGTCTACACTGACTTAACTAGAGGTCAGCATCATGAAATTTGATTTCATTTTTCAAAGTCATATTCAAAGAACATATTTTGTAACATATACAAGCCCTTTAGGGTCTTTGCGTCAGATCTTATTACCCATGTTCAGCCTTCTTGTGGTACCCATTGGATACCTTTTTCCTGTTCTGGACTATAGTGGGCAGAGATACAGTATTCACCTCTTTCACCCCTCTTGCTTCCCCAGTATCCAACTGTCTGTACTGCCCAAGAAATGTGGCAGCCAGTGCGGTAACCACCCTGACAGTTAGGAATTTTTTCCTAATGTACAACCTAAACCACGCTTGGTGCAATTTAAGCCCATTGCTTCTTGTCCTATCCTCAGAGGTTAAGGAGAATAATTTTTCTCCCTCCTCCTTGTAACAACATTTTATGTATTTGAAAACTGTTATGTCCCTCCTTAGTCGTTTCTTCTCCAGACTAAAGAAACCCAATTTCTTCAATCTTCCCTTATAGGGCATGTTTTACCTTTAAATAATTTTTGTTGCTCTTCTCTGGACTTTCTCCAATTTGTCCACATCTTTCCTGAGATGTGGCATTCAGAACTGGACACAATACTCCAATGAGGTCTAATCAGCACAGAGCAGAAGAATTACTTCTCATATTTTGCTTACAACTCTTCTGCTAATACATCCGAGAACGATGTTTGCTTTTTTTGTGTTACATAGTTCACTCATATTTAGCTTGTGATCCACAATGACCCCAGACCCCTTTCTGCAGTACTCCTTCCTAGGCAGTCATTACCCATTTTGTACGTTTACAACTGATTATTCTTTCCCAAGTGGAGTACTTTGCCTTTGTCCTTATTGATTTTCATCCTTTTTTACTTCAGACCATTTCTCCAGTTTGTCCAGATCACTTTGAATTTTAATCCTATCCTGCAAAGAACTTGCAACCACTTCCAGGTTGGTATCGTCTGCAAACTTAATAAGTCTATTCTCTATGCCATTATTTAAATAATTGATGAAGATATTGAACAGAACTAGACCCAGAACCAACCCTTTTGGGACTCCACTCATTATGCCCGTCCAGCTTGACTGTGAACCACTGAGAACTACTTTCTTGGAACAGTTTTCAAACCAGTTATACACCCTCCTTATAGTAGTTCCATCTAGATTGTATTTCCGTAGTTTATTTATGAGACGGTCATGCAAGACAGTATCAAAAGCTTTACTAAAGTCAAGATATACTACATACTGTATACTGCTTCCCCACCATCCACCAGGCTTGTTACCCTGTCAAAGAAAGCTAACTGTTACTTATCACCTGATTATCTTCTAGGTGTTCGCAAACTGATTGCTTAATTATTTGCTCCATTATTTTTCCAAGCTCACTGGTCAGTAATTCCCTGGGTTGTCCTTATCCCCCTTTTTATAGATTGGCACTATATTTGCCCTTTTCCAGTCCTCTGGAATCTCTTCCATGACTTTTCAAAGATAATTGCTAATGGCTCAGATATCTCCTCAGTCAGCTCCTTGAGTATTCTAGGATGTATTTCATCCTGGTGACCTGAAGACATCTAACTTGTCTAAGTATTTTTAACTTGTTCTTTCCCTATTTTAGCCTCTGATCCTACCCCATTTTCAGTGGCATTCACGATGTTAGACTTCCTATCTCTACTAACCTTTTTGCTGAAAACTGAAACAAACAAAAATCATTTAACACTTCTGCCATTTCCACATTTTCTGTTATTGTTTTTTCCCCCCTTCACTGAGTAGCGGACCTACCATGTCCTTGGTCTTCCTCTTGCTTCTAATGTATTTGTAGAATGTTTTCTTGTTACTCTTTCTCTCTCTAGCTATTTTATTCTCATTTTATGCCTTGGCTTTTCTGATTTTGTCCCTACATACTTATTTGTTTATATTCATCCTTTGCAATTTCACCTAATATAAGCCAAGTTTAAATCAGTTTAAGACAGTACACACACTGTTTTGTACTGATTTAACTAAACTGATTTTTAAACTCGTTTTAGTTATACCAGAGCAACTTTTGTGAACAAAAGGCTTAAGTGACTTGCCTAAGTTCACGGGAAATCTGTGATAGAACTACAAACTGAATCTTGATCTTCCAAGTCTGAAGGCAGCACCACTGCCAGCAGCAACACAGCAGTAAGGATGGAATGATATGGTAGTGCCACCCTTACTTTATGCTACAGCCTTCAGAGCTGGGCCCTGCCCAGCAGCCGCCACTCTCCAACTACCCAGCTCTGAAGGGAGCGCAGAAGTAAGGGTGGCACTGCCATGACTCCTCTACAATCACCTTGTGCCTCCCCCACCACGACTCCCTTTTGGGCTGGAACCCCGAGTTTGAAAAACGCTGGTCTCTCCCGTGAAGTCTGTATAGTATAGGTTAAAAGTACACAGAAGACCAGATTTCACGGTCCATGACGTTTTAGGGCCGTGAATTTGATAGGGCCCTAACCATAGCCTAAACTTGGTATGATCAATGAGGCTCTGCATGGGCACAAGGGCTCATCCACATGGGTTTAATTTCAGGATCAGAGCCCAAACTTGGAGTTTGTAGGCTAAAATATTTTGGAGGTCTGATGAGCAAAATAAAGTCATGAGTGTTTTTAAGAAGTCCAGGGACATTTCCCTCCACCATAATTTAAAAAAACGCTTTCTGTCCCCATCCCCCATGTTCCCCCAAGACTGATGAGAAAAATTCTGTCCTGACATTTCATATTGTATAAAAACCAGCAGAATAGAGAAAATGCATATTTCAGTCTTCCAGCTTATTGTGTATTTGACACAGTATTGTGTGCGCTGACAGTTAGACCCCAATCCTGGAAGTAGCTGAATTAGCATAGACCCCCATGCTCACATTAATTCCCACTGATGTCACTGGAAGTTGTCACAGCTTCATGGCTCTGTGTTGGAGTATTGCTTGCAAGATTAGGGCCTTAGACCACAATCTTGCAATGTTATGCATGCAGAGCCCCAGTGAAATCAGTGTGTTCACCCACATGAATCATATTGTAAGATTGGGAACTTTCAAACAGCAGCAGGAGAGAGAAGAGTTTTTTGTTTTTGTAAACAGGAAAATGTGCTTGTAAAACAGCAAAGGTTGTGGGCATGATACAGTGGCAGTGTACTACCAGATACTACTTTTAACTCACTTGCTGGAACCTAAATACATTTCAAGTTGATGTCTCTTTATGTGGTTGCCTGCTAGTTTTGGGTTTGTGCATGTGTTACCAATTGTTAACAGCCTGTTACTTCTTTTTTTTTTTTTAAGGGTTAGATAGTTCAGAGGTTTGTATAAGGCATGTAAAACAGAAATAATCTTTCTAACTTAATATTGAATTGTTACTTTTACCTATTGAGGCTACAGGCCCAAATCTTTGTCTACCGTAAAGACTGTTTTGCACAACTTAAGTGCCCAATTCTTCTAAAGTTGATGTCTAAAGCCTTGCATTTGCAATAAGATTAGAACAAACACTAGAGTCTATTTTGTCTCAAACATGAACAAAGCTGTGTATACATATTATTGGCTACAACAACATGCTTATGTTCAAGTGCAATCCACTCTCAACCTTTGTTTTCTGTTGACACTATCTAAAAGCTTAAAGCCATTTAAGGCCTAGGGCCCCAATGCTGTAATTCAATCTGTGCACAGGTGAACCCCTGTGACTCTTGGGCTAGGTCTATACTACCCGCCTGAATCGGCCGGTAGAAATCGACCTCTCGGGGATCGATTTATCGCATCCCGTCGGGACACGACAATCGATCCCCGAATCGACGCTCTTACTCCACCAGCGGAGTTGGGAGTAAGCGACGTCGACAGGAAGCCGCAGAGGTCGATTTTGCCGCCATCCCTACAGCGGGTTAAGTCGGCTGCGATACGTCGAATTCAGCTACGCTATTCGCGTAGCTGAATTTGAGTATCTAAAATCGACTCCCCCCGTAGTGAAGACCTGCCCTTGGACTGGTAATTGCAGGATCGGTACCTAAGTAAGAATTGCCTTCTAGTAGTAATCAGGAAGTTTGTTCATGCAAGGAAAAACAAATTTAAAGTTTGGGCCAAAGCAACTTGTGACAATGTCATTTACAGCTGTGCTATCCAGTGCCAATATTTAACATGCAACACACACTGATAGGCGGCAGTGCACCATGAAGTTTCACATTGTATAAACTTCTGAAGGATGCCTAGCAGTTACACATGAAGAGAGAGGGGGCAAGGAACATCCACAAGCCAGCCAAATGACTTAAATATTGTGGAGCTTGCCTTCCTGTGCCTGTAGAGTGCCCACCTTGAGAAGTTATCACTAACCAAGTCATCACAAATTTTTAAAACAAGTGTCACTGAAAGGAACACATTCCTTATTCTACAGGAGTGGCTCCAAGTCCGGCAGCCCACACATGGTCACTGCAGTGTTTTGGGTCCGCACCGGACTGTTTCTAGCTTTGAAGTACTTTGGGAAGGAAAAAGAAGAACAGGAGGACTTGTGGCACCTTAGAGACTAACAAATTTATTAGAGCATAAGCTTTCGTGGACTACAGCCCACTTCGAAGGTGCAAACCAAAGGCCAAGGATCAGCAGTGCAGGGGCTGGCTGGGTCACGTGGTGGCACACACCCCATTAGGATCAGGAATACGAGCAACACCCAGGCTCCGCTCCACCAGCTGTTACTGCAGCACCTGCGGCGCTGCCTGCTGCACTCCCTCCGGGCTATTCCTTTGGAACCGGCTCAGCCCGGTGCTGGAACAGCCGGAACCATTCGGCTCACCGGGGGCGGGAGCCAGCATCGCCTGACGCCGGCCCATGCCCAGGCCTACTCAGAGCTCCCGGCTCTGCCCCCTGCAGCGCTCGCGGGCGGGTTCCCTTCCCCCGCCCCGCACGGGCACCGGTCGGGATCCCCCCGCGGAGCACAGCGCCGAGGCCAGGCGCCGGCAGCTGCTCCCTCCGGGGCCCCGGACCGCTTCCCCCGCCGAGGCCGCCTCACCTCGCCCACCAGCCCCTGCCAGTCGCTCTCCGTGCGATTGAAGCTCATGGCTGCGCGGCAAGTGACGCGCCCCGCAACACCTCACCGCCTCCAGGGCCGGGCAGCGCCAGCGCTACGTGGGCTCAGCTGAGCCGCCTGCGCGGGAGGCGGAGCCTCCCCCACCACCTGCCGGGCCGGAGTCGCCCCCGGCATCCCGGTGCGGGCTACCCGGCCCCGCCCCCTACATCCTGGTACGAGGCTGCCCAGCCCCGCCCGCTCCGGCTTGGTCTGCCCCGCTCCGCCTCCCGGCACCGCCTGACTAGCCCCGCCCCCTACCGCCCGGCCTCGCCCCTTCTGCCTAGGCAGGGGTGGGGGTGCTGCTCCCTCTGCGGCCCGGCCGAGGCGAGCGTTGGACCCCAGTGCAATAAGGGACGTGTCCCAGGAGCTGGCCCCTGTTCTCTGTCCCCGGCCCAGAAACCCCTCCCTTGCCAGCCAGGCCGGCAGGCTGCAGGGGCGAGTGTTACCCGCTACAGCCCTGAATTGGGAGCCGCCGGAGCCCTGCCGTCTGACCCGCACCTGCACGCTCTTGCCCCGCCAGAAGAGCCTAGGGCTTTTCCAGTGTAGGTGAAATCCCATGCAAAGCGACACAAGCTAAACTGCAGCAAACAACTCTTCTCAGCAGCAGCTCTCCACCTGCGCCAAGATCTGTAAAGTATTTAGCCTCGCAGTGCCCCGCTGTAAGGAAGTATTAGTCCCATTTTACAGACAGAGAGCTGAGGCGCACAGAGGCTAAGTGACTTGCCCAATGTCATGTGGGAATTTTGTGGCAGAGCAGGGAATTGAACCTGTTTCCCCCACAGTTTAAGCAAAAGCCGTAACTACCAGCCCATACTTTTTCTCCTATAAGGTGGGGAAAAGACACTCTCTTATATTGGCTTAAGTGTGTCCACATGGAAATAATAACAATATATTATTTTAAATTCACACCTTAGCTTAAACTGATGTATAACCTTCTCCTGACCCCTCGGACTGGAAGGGCCAATTCAACTGCTGTTGTAAATTAGAGCAACAGCCTCCTAGCAGCTATAACTAGTCACAGTGGTCCAGCCATTTCCTCTCAATCTCCTACACGAGGGTCTACGATGCAGCACCATTAGGTCATTTTGGCAGCTGTATGTCACCCACAGACCCCCTTGTGCAGTGAGTGTTCCCCTTCCATGTATGCTGGAGGAGCAACATACAGGGGCAGGGAGAACAGAGAATAGACTCCAATCTCTCAGAATCTGGCTCTTAAATTGTAAACTTTGTAGGGCATGGACTGGTGTTATTTGTCTGTTTAAAGTTATACAGATGAATACATAGTAATAATGATCCTGGATATAAGCCTGCTGGATCTGCTTCTCTGCTTCCTTTTACTCCAGCAGCAGGTTTCAAGTTGTTACCATCAGCATCCTGCATCCTGGCAGCTGAAGCCATGGGCTTCAGTCACATGGAGAGTGACTGGCAGGGGTGGGTGGGCGAGGCAGAGTCAGCAGTGGGGGCTATATTGCCAGCTCTTGTGATTTTATCACAAGTCTTATATCTGTGGTGTTTTTTTAAAGACCCAGCTTCTGGTGATATGTGATTATGTGAGAATCACAACTTTCTTTTGAAAAAATAAATGAGTTTCTAGTCATGGTTGCAGAGAGAGCCCCTGAAATGTGACATGAGTGCACTGTAAAGGCTCAGAAACAAAAAGGCAAATAACAAGACCACGACGTTTACTTTTTAAAATCTAAGATTTTAAGTTACTTGTTATTTTTAAGGTCCAACTCATGATTTTTGATCACTTGAGATTGGCAATAGTGAATACCACAGTATTTTAAGTTTCCTGAATGATTTTTTTTATGTTACTCATTTTAGGTCTTTGTTACACACTGTGGCCCAAAGTTGTAGCCTTGGCAATCTGAGAGGTATTGTTGTTTTGTTGTTGTTTTGCACCCATGAAATATTTTAGTTACTCAAAAACAAACCCGTGTAAGTTCCCTGAGAGAGAATGAAATAAACAAATAGCCCAGAACTGTGTATATTCACTTTCTTTTTGTAGTGCCTTTTAATGATGGGGATAGGAGTCATCTTAACAGTCACAGAGACCAAGTTAAGTGTTTATCTATCCCTCCTACCCCCTCTCCAGCCTCCTCTCACTCTTTAATATCCCTCTGCAATCTTCTTCTAACTCTTGAAGCTCATCTCCTCCTGCTTCCTCCTCCTTCTTGCCTTCTCTCACTTTTTCTCATCCCTTTCCTCTTTAGCTTTAACCACTCTCTCCCCCAGATCCTTTCCACCAACCTACAAACATATTCTTGTGTCCACTATCCAGCAAAACTTCTCTCTACTCGACATGCCTCTTTAGCTACCACCTTCTGTCTCCGCTCCCTGGAGCATACTGTCATCTCCACAACCTAGATTTCCTTTCCTCCATCTTTCCTTCCAGTCTACCTCCTGTCCTCCTCAATGTCCTAGCAAAGTCAGAGGGGCACTTCTCTATTTTTATTCTTTTGATTGGTCTTCTGCCTTTAACACTACTGATCATCATTTCCTGTCAGCTTCTGCACGTATCTTATTTATTATTAAGTACCTAAAGGTTCCAACCAAAAGCAGGGCCCCATCGTGCGAGGCAGTGTACAAACACATAGTGAGACGCAATCACTGCCTCAAAGAGTTTACAAACCAAACAGGCAAGACAAACAAGGGGAGAGTAAGGAAGTGGTATTATCCCCATTTTGCAGATGGGTAACTGAGGCTCAGAGAGATTAGGATGACTTGCCCACAGTCACACCAGAAGTCTGGGGTATAGCTGGGAATTAAATGCTGATCTCCTGAGTCCCAGCCTACGGCTTTAACCACAAAACCAGCCTTCCTGTTCTCTAACAGGTGAGCTCTCCTGGTTCTCCTACCTCAGTTACTGTGTCTTCACCATCACTTCATCAATAACCTGAAAGCATATTCTTGTAACTCATAATCTGGAAAAAAAAATCATAGCCCTATCTCCCTCTCCAACTTCAATCCTGTCTTCTTTGTCTCTAGACTCCTTGTCTCCCCTGTCTATTGATGTCCTTCAGGGTTCTGTCCTCAGTCTCTTCTTTCATACTCTTTCCAGACAGTCTCGTCTGCTTCTGGGGTTTTATCTCCCCACTCTGCAACTGTCTGTGTAACCCCAAACTCTACCACTCTATCTAGTCTCACATTTCTGACTGTCTCTCTCAAATCTTCTTCTGGGGTATCTTGCTTTCATCTGATCTCTTTATCAATGTATCCTCCATTTATGTGTTGATCACCAGTGCAATACCATTACCAATCCCTGAGCCTCTTAGTTACCTAGGTAATCCTTTTTACTGGACTAACTAAAAACACAGGGTCAGATCCAGAGCTGGTGTAAAAAGGCTAGCTCCATTGACTTCAGTGGAACTACACCAATTTACATCAGCTAAAGATTTAGCTCACAGTTTTAAGACTTAGCTTTCAGGAATCACAGTCTCCTGTCAGTCAGTCAGCATCATTCTAGAAAGCTTGCCCTTTTGTTTTATTTATAGCTAGGCCATTAAATGGGATCGTCTACAACTTTGTTATTTATTTTTGTTGTTTTCATTGTTTACCTACTGCACTAACATGATCATCACTTCCATCTTCTGCTTTGAAAACATATATGGTAAAAAAACAAACACAGGATACATTCTGGCAGGATGTCATTGAAGCTTAATGAAAGTATGTAATGTTTGTCCCCAGAAGAATAATTTGATCTTGCTCTCTACAGATGTTCCAACTATTTAATCGGGGTTTAAGTACCTCTGAATGAAGATATCACCTATAATGGATAGCACAGGCATTTACGACCTGTGGTAATTTATATCAGCAATATTCTCATTTCATACTTCTGTTAGTCTGCTAATACCTAAATACATCCTGAAACCTTGTGCACCCATTCTGTTGGAGGCACTCCACATTTGTGGCAATATCATTAATTTTAACATTTGCCCTCTCCCCTAGGTATCCACTCTGCTTCTGTTGTGTCTTCTTGTCTCTGGTATCTAGTCTGAGGCTGTTTTTTGTCCATTTATATTCCTGCTGTGCCTCTTCAATTTTCTCAGGTTCAATGCTGGTTCCACTATTATCTGTCAACTCCTCTAGTTCACATGCATGGTCTGTCAGCAAGACAATATGAACTGAGATCAGAAGCAGTTTAGCGGCTATTCATTTATTTTGAATCCTTTCATGCCCAATTGGTCATGTCCATGAAAGATACTTCTTAGACAAACACTGGAGAGTTTTGAAGTGATGGTGTTTCCACTCCTCTGTGATTTTGGACTTTTAATATATTATACTCATTTGTATACTGGATACTGGCTGTAACCTTGGAATCAGATGCACCAAAACTGATAACAGGGAGCCTGTCACTCTAGTGCTCCTTCTGCTGAGCCCATGCACAATGGAGGAGTAAGCCATCTGATTCGAATACAAAGGGGACAAAAGGAAAAGGAGTAGACTGAGGCAAGGAGTCAGATAAGACTGAGATTGGAGGTGAAACACTGTGACTGGGAAGGGTAGGAGTGGGAGTTGGGTTAGTGGGTCAGGCATGGCTGGAACTGGTTGGCAAAGAGGCCAGAACTATGAACTAGTGTGGGGGGACAGGGCCAAAGGGAGGGGAGACAGCTCTGACAAGGAGCTGGGATGTGGCTGGAGAACTGGGATGGGATGGAGAAAGAAACAAGGAACAAGGGTGGGGGGTAAGGTGGAGTGTGAGCCAGGTTGGATGAGGAGCCCATGGAGGGAGACTGGGGACCAGCAGGATAGGGGTGGTGAAGAGGTAGAGACATATTGGATGAGGAGCTGAGAGGGGGAAACTGGGACTGGCTAGTCAAAGAGTCAGAGACTGGGTGTGGGGAAAGGAAGCGATTGTATGTGGAAAAAATAGAATGTGGTCATGTAATTAAAAACTGTATCATAACACAGTGCCAAGGGGCCCCAAATTAAATATGCACAGGCAGCCTTGCTTCTAGCATTTCCTCACTTCTGAATGCTTGAGTTTGCAGCTTTAACAAAGTTATTTTAGTGTAGTCTTTTGTGTGAAATATTTTATATATAACAACACTTAGAATAAAATTTTCAAAAGCACCAAAGTGACTTACGAGCCCAAGTCCCATTTTCAGAAGAGACTTGGACACTTAGGACCCTAAGTCCCATTTGAAAATGGGATTTGGGCTCCTGAGTGACTGGTGCCTTT